CAGGGGAAAGCGTCCCATAATGCAACAAGAAGTAGGAATGGAAGGACAAAGAGATTTTGTGCATGTCCCTTTTACAACATCAGACTTGCAGAATTGGAAACAGTCAGCAGGATCATAGAGGGAAAGTCCAGAAAAGATGCATCAACTTTTAGAAACTGTTATGGTAACTCTTAATTCTAAATAGGGGGGTGTGCAGGCTTTGATGAATACTTTCTTCACTGCTGAGGAAAGGAGAATGGTAATGGAAAAGGCTAAAGAAGAAGGGGGAAGAAGGTAAGAAAGAGGATCCCAAGGAATATATCCCCAAATCAGACCCTGACTTAGATCCTAATACAAGTGCAGGAAAGGCATTGTTAAAACAATTCCACCAACAAATATTGTATGGAATTCAACATGGGGTACCAAAACCTAAGAACGTGACTAAATTGTGTGAGGTTAAGATGGGGTTCTGAAGAAACCCCCTTGGCTTTTTATGAAAGACTGTGTGAGGTAGCAAGGAACTGGACAGATTTGCATATAGACTTGGAAATAAATCAGGAACTGTTTAACATGGTGTTGATAGGGCAGTCACCCTCTGATGCCAGAAGAAAATGGCAGAAGGTTGATGGTGCAGGAGGACTGTCTGTTTCACAGCTTATAGAAATTGCTTGTAAGGTGTATAATAACAGACAAAAGAGAGAGACAAAGCAAGATGAAATTATAGGCTTCGTTACTGGTTTCAGCAATAAATAGAAACAGTGCAAGGGGGAGAGGTAGAGGCCAAAGGAGGGGAGGATGGGATGGAGCAGGACAGGGAAGAGGATGTGCACTCTCTGGGCGCACCCCATTAGGCCCAAATCCATGTACGGTCTGTAGGAGAGAGGGACAGTGAAGAAACAAATGCCCAATGCAACAAGGAAGGACGGAATAGGAAAAAGGGAGGATGCAGGCCTCATTCTTTTAGAGGACATAAATGGTGATTGAAGGGGACCAAGGGAGGAAGATTTGAATTTAAAATTTTTACCAGCAGATCCCCTAGTTCCAGGCAGCATCACACTTGTTGCTGTGTGTGTGCGCAAAGTGGGGGCACCGAGGGGAGAGCTCGCACCACTTATGTAGCGTGAAATGGAGATACTTCAATAGGAGATGGTAGGGCGGTGGTTTTGCTGCTGTGGTTTTTGAATGTCTGCCTTGGGAAGGTCTGGTTAGTAGTCTGGATCAGCCCTTCTAAAATTTCCCCATTAAAAAAAAATTAAGATCAGATTTGAAGAATAAATCTGTTGCAAAGTCACCCAGTGGAAGTAAAAGGATGTGAAAAGAAGGAATTTTTAACACTGTCAAAGTATTGTTGAAAAATGTGTTGTTTATTCATATGCTAACTATGCTGACTTGCTCACAGATATTCCCTGTTTCCCTGTGTTCCTCTCTGTCAGTTTAGAAGCAAGGCAGTCATATCCTCCAGACAAATTTCTCCCATAATCCTGTAACATTAATAAATAATTAACAGTAAGTGTAATTTGTAATTACAGGGTATTTACTGTCCAAAGATCTTAGCAAGAGAATTTCTCATTAGAGTATACTAGAATGTGTTATATTACTATATATAGTGAGAATGTGTAATTTTCCAAAACTAGTGACTACAATGAAGTTGCACGGTTGGCTTTTGAGGAGATCCAAATGGCCTATCAAAGGTATTTAGTAGTAGCTCACAAGAAAATTAAAGCAAAACGAAGAACAAACCTAGTACTCGGACTTAGTTGATAAAAATAGCTTGTAAGCACTAACAGCATTTACATACTAATGAATCTCTCACTATTCATTAAATAAAAATAACAGTGCTTCTCCATGTTTTTTTCTTAAGACCGGGACTGAGGAAATGGATACGTCTTCCCAAAAATACCCAGTTAAAAAGCAGGTGAAAATTCATCCCAACACAGTAACAGTGAAATATACTTCTCATTATCCCCAGCCAGGAGAAGAGGGATATGAGGATGTTAATGAAGATACTGGAGTATTTACGGAGGACAATCCTAAGACAAGACTCCTGAATGATGGGAAAAAGAGAGAAAGGACCTCCTTTGGTACAATAGAAACCAAGCCTCAGCCAGCACAACTGCCAAAACCCAATGAGATGGGGCAATCCCAGCATTTTCCTGAAGGAAATATACTGCAGTCAAGGAAAACGTGGGTAGTCCTTTTTGGATCTGCCGTGGCTCACGGATGTGTGGCTCTTATTACAAGACTAATTTCTGATCGTTCCAAAGTGCCGTCCCTAGAGTTAATTTTCATTCGTTCAGTCTTACAGGTGCTGTCCATTACTGTTGTGTGTTACTACCATGAGCCTCCCTTTGGCCCCAAAGGCTACAGACTCCGGCTCTTCTTCTATGGGGTCTGCAATGTTATCTCTATCACCTGTGCTTATACCTCCTTCTCTATAGTTCCCCCCAGCAATGGGACCATTATGTGGAGGGCTACCACTACAGTGTTCAGTGCCATTTTGGCTTTTTTACTCATAGATGAAGGAATGGCTTACATAGACATAATTACTGTAGTTGGCAGCGTGTTTGGCGTTTGCCTTGTCATGATCCCCAACATTGTTAAGGAGGAAAACTCTTTGCTGAGCACCTGGAAGGAAGCTTTTGGCTATACTATGACTGTTATGGCAGGTCTGACCACTGCTCTCTCCATGATAGTCTACAGGTCAATCAAAGATAACGTCAGCATGTGGACTGCACTGTTCACCTTCAGTTGGACAGGAACTGTCTGGGGAGTGTCCACCATGTTCTTACTTCAAGAGCCAATCATCCCACTGGATGGAGAAACTTGGAGCTATCTCCTTGCCATCTGCCTGTGCTCCACAGCAGCTTTCCTGGGGGTCTACTACGCCCTGAGCAAGTTTCACCCGGCTTTGGTCAGCACCGTACAGCACCTGGAGATAGTCATCACCATGGTCCTGCAGCTTGTTGTGTTGCAGATCTTCCCAGGTCCTTATGATCTTCTTGGGGGAGCGGTTATTTTGGTTAGTGTTTTCTTCCTTGCATGTTATAAACTGTTCTGGAAGAATTTAGGAAGACAGGATTATCAGGAGATAGTGGATTCTTCCATTAAGTGAATTGCAGTTTTGAGGTCCGATTCTAGCTATGTGGCCATGTGCAGTAACACATTTCAGTGCTGTGATGTTCTAGTGCAGTGGCCAAGTCCTCTCTCTACTCTTTTAATTCACAGCTGTGAATTTAAATAGCAATGTTGGTATTTCCTGACTTCCATGACAGGTGAATTTGTTCTAGTGCATTCAACCACTGACATTTTGTCATTTAATTTGTCTCCAGCACATAGGGTGTGTACGTGGCAGCAGATGCCAGCCCACAGAAGCGCAGGCCAAGTCAAAGACATGTTCCTCCTCACCTTCCCTAGATAAGGCAATACAGAGACAGAGGGATTCACTAGTGACTCTCATTCCCATGCAGTGTGCTAGTAGACTAATGAACGATAAAACCATTAAAATAGCCAGTGAGAGTGTTCATATCCTCTGTAACATTTCCTATGCTTCAGCTTACTCTTCTAAAAGAACTAATGCTAGTATTTCTGTTGTTGAAACTTGCATTCCCTGCGTGTATAAAGACTGTCAGTAAAGATTTTTGTGCTTTGTGCTTAAATTTCTGTCTGAATCAATGCAGGAAGCCCAGATCCCCTGCAGGGGAAAAGAGTGCCCCAAAATCTGGGCTCTCCAGTTGAGCCACAGCTGTGAAAGAAAGGTTCCCAAGAACTGTAAGGTCCATGATGGATAAAGATCTACCCCTGAGGCAGAGTCCTATTCTTTCTATGGAACCACTTTTTTTTTTTTTAAAGAGGTTATGACTACTATGCTAGGGAGAAAAAAAAGAAGAGATTGCATCTGAGATAAAGGCATGAGCAGAGGTGGTAAGAATTAGCAGCCTGACAGGAATCCACTGACTTTTAAGTCACTGTGTTTGGGTCCTAACATGTCAGTTAGAAAACAGATTTACGAAAAGGTTTTTATGGTTCCAAATAGCATTCCCGGCTGTGCTAACTAGTGTCCAATAAATCCGTGTCCATGCACTCCATGCCAACCAGGCCCACGGGCACCTATTTCTCCAGTAGACTGTGCCTGGAACACAAGCATTTTCTGAGGGAAAAGACATCGCCCAGATGACCCCAACCAGTCCTGCTTCCCCCATGGAAAACACCACGGAAAATACGTTTTACTTGGTAAAAAGCCACAGCAGCAGCAATCACTTTTATTCCTATGAGTGCCCAGGGAGACGAGGTTCCCCAACACCAGTCAGCCCAGCTGGCAGTGCTCCTAACGCGTGTGACGCTTGAGTCCTCCACCTGGGCCACACATGGAAGACACATTTCCTCAGATGTTGGCGCACAGTTACGGCTGTCCCGACAACTCCATTTCCTTCAGGAGCGTGTGAAGCTGGCAACAGTTCTGCCCACTCTAGGAAGGACAGGGGAAAAAAGAACAAGTAAGGCAATGCAGCACTGGGAAAGCTGCGCCCAACACTTTCACAGCCAAACCCTTTGGCAGCTTATGGCCCTGGCAGTTCCCAGCCCAGAATCTTGCTGTGCTTCCATGACTCCTCACTTCCCCTCTGGGGCAGATGGTCTTTCCTCCTCTGAGCGGTAACACAGCAGGAAAGCTTCCTTTGTGGAAAGCAACCAGGGCAAAAGGCTTCATCTCCTACGGTTTCCATGCCTGTTATGTTCTGGAGGGAGTCAAGCTTTAAGACTCCACTATGCACACATGCCTGCACACACGCAGCCAGCTGGGTACGTGCTGGCAAGCAAGGAGTACCCAACAGCACGACTCCCTGAATGCCTACACCGTGCAGCAGGGATGACAGTCCTAAGAAAGCTCTTGATGAGCTGCCCCAACCCCAAAACAGCAAAGCCCCCTTTCAAGAGATTGAGCACAAAACTAATCCTGCCAAAACCTGCGCCCAAACTGACACAGGCAGCCAGCACTCAGGGGCTGAGCAGGGCACAATCCCATCCCAAGGACCTGGGTGATGACCGGTGAGTGATTCCTGGGGGCTACGGGCTTTGGTCCTGGTCCAGCTGCCCCACAGCCAGCACAAGGTCCTGCACAACCAGGTCCACATCTGCCCGGGTAGTGTCTCGCCCCACACTCAGCCGTAAGGCATTCTGCGCCACGTCGTAGGGAATTCCGCAGCTGAGCAGAATTGAGGAGGGCCTGGAACACAGACACGGAAGTGAGCAGGTCTGAGGAAGCACAGGCATCACCAGAAAGCTTCACCAAGAAGAACATCTTCACCAAGTTGCACATCTGCAGATGCATTTCAGGAAAACCTTCTTGCTTTCCGAAGGCAGGGACCTGGTCCTGCTGGGCTTGCTGCCCTATGGTGGATTTGGCTCTTCTCCTCTAGGGAGGAATCTCTCCTATGTCCCCATGGGTTGGCAGCTCTGCCTCACCTACAGGGCATTGCTCTAGAACAGATCAGAAGCACCTGCTGTTCCCACACACCCCTGAAGGGTGACCCAAATTAGGCCTGAGTGGGTGAGCCAAACACACATGGATGTATGTCAGACTCTTCTGGCAGTGCCAGGTGCTGAAGAGTACTTCCAAGCTCAGCTGGATCACCAAAGCCAGGAGGCACAAAGCAGCAGTCAAGCATTCCAGCTGCTTCCTGCAGTAACCCCCCTCACCGTGCTTCAGCTCCTCTGGAAAGCTCTGCATCCTCTTTGCTCCAGGTGATGCTCAGCACAACCACCCACAGTCCCCTTCTCTGTCCTATTTCCCTCCTCCCCACCTGCTCTTCTCTGAGAAGAGGCCCTGGGCCTGGCAGAGCCATCTGCTTACCGATCCCCCTTCTCAGAATGGCAGGCAGCCCCAACACTGGCAAGAAGCGTCTTGCACCGAGACAGCACCCTTTGCCCTGCAGCACACAAGCAGAGGTCTCCCAGCACCCAGGCACTCTTTAAAGGACATCACCCAGCCCAAGCCATGGCCAGGCCCCTGCCAGTCTCTAGCCACAGAGTGTTGTGAGGCAGGTGCTTGGCTCTGTGGGCACCATCACAGGGCAGTGGTGAGGCAAGAGCTACCTTGAAGACCGGGGCCCAGGATGGAGAAGTTAGAGGTGTTGCAGAGTCGCTTGGAGCCTGTAAAGTGGCTGTTGAGGTGGATCCTCTGCTTCCCAAAAGAGGCCTGGAGAAATCAGAGCACTGTGAACCACTCTGGGTTCCTGATGTGGAGGTGGCAGGACGAGAGGGCTTCAGCCCCACACTCTGCAGGCTGAGACCCCAGGAGGGGAAAGACAAACAGGAACCAGGTCTGCTCACCTCCAGCTTGGCTTCCAGGTAATCCCGAACATCACGCATATGAGACTCATAAGCCTCCCAGTTCTTGCTCACTAACTCCGCAGCCTGCGGAGAGAAAACCCAGATGGGCTGTCTGTGACCCCTCGACACCTCCCTCTGTGCGAGGCCCCCTGGCATGAGAGTCCAGCCCAGGAACAGCCTCTGCAGTTGCCAGGTCCCCGCTGCCAGGGCTGCTCCGAAGCATCTCCTTTAACTGGCACCAGAAAGCCCCGTCTCCTTTCCAAGTAGTTCACCCATGCTCCCGCACCCAGAGTTTGTCACTCGGAATGACCGGGGAGCACAGGTGGCCGGCTCCCTGCCAGCTCCACCAGGCAGCACCCCCAGGGACCACCCATGCCCATTGCTGACTCACCTGGCCAAGGCCGGCAATCATTGGGGTGTTCTCGGTGCTGGAAGGGGAGAGGGAGTGGTGAGTTATTTATTGGACCAGAAACCCAATCTCAGGGCACAGACACTCCCCACACAGGACCCCTCACCACTGGCAGGGAGACTGGGACACCTCTCTGAGGGGTTTGGGAAGGGGGCTGTGGTTCTTCCCACAGCAAGGCCTGTGCACCAGGCTCCTGCAGTTCCCATGCACGGATCCATCTCCCTGCGCTGGGCTGCCCATCCCAGGGTGGGCAGGTGACACAGCTGCCAGTTCAGCTCAGACTAAGTAGCCACAGGTGGTGTGGCCCAGCTCTCCAGGCTACCACTCGGCCACCTTACCCCGGCCGGAAACTCCTCTCCTGTCCCCCTCCGAAGAGCATGGGGTGCAGCGGGGTGGTGGTGCCAGGGCCACGCGCATACAGCGCGCCAATCCGTGGGCCGTAGAACTGTGCGGAGAAACAGTCGTGGTGACCCTGGGGACTCTGCCAGGTGTCCCTTTTCTGTACTCTTGCCTAATATGAATGCCCTCAGTGCTGACCCCTGCCCATCTCACAGGCACAGGCTGCTACAGAGCAGTCCTCTGCCCTTGACCTCCACCCGCTCCACAGGTCCATGTGACTCACAGAAGCCTTGTGACCCAGCTGAAGACTCTTCAGAGGACCATCCAGCAGAAAACCTTTGCCCACTGATTAGGTATCAAGCTGTGCAGAGCACCCAGAGTCTCCCTGGTACCCCAAGAGAGACGTCTTTGAGGGTGAGAAGCGGCTGGGCTTTGTGAATGTGGCCATACCTTGTGTCCCACGATGGTGAGGTAGTCCCCCTCAAGCTCCTGCACGTCCACACGCCCCTTGCCAATCATCTGCGCTGCATCTGTGTGCACCAGGATCCTGGGCAGCCCCTCCGTCGCTCTCCGCTGATTGAGCGCATGGATGTGCTGGCTTAGCTCTGCAACAGGCTGGCAGGAGGGAAGAGGGTCTGCGTCCCAGACACCGTCTGCTCCCCCTTATCAAACACCTTTTTGTGAGGACGTCCCCACCCTGTCCCAGTTGTGTGTGTCCTCATCACACAGACTCACCATGACGACCCCAGTCTCATTATTGGCCAGCATGACGGAAACCAGGCAGGTGGTAGGCCTAACGGCAGGAAGGACAACGTCTACCTCCACCCCCCCACCTTTTGCCACAAAGGTGGCTTCTGCAAGCCAAGAGACAAGCCCTGAGGTTTGCTGGGAAGCCTGACAGCGCCCAGGGCTGTCCGCGCCCCACGGAAGAGGCAGGAGAGCTGTGTAGGCAGCTGGCACAAAAGCAGAGAGCACAGGCACTGGGTGCCAATGGGGTAACCAAGCTTGAGGGAATGGGGGCACTGTGTGGGGAGTCAGTGCTCTTTGTGGGGGGAAAGGGGAACATCATAGAGCAAGCAGGTCCCTGTCCTCTTTCACAAAAACACCAGAGATGCCCCCAA